CATGAGATGGTGGGTCTCTGGCTCTGTGCGTTTGTTCTCCTCAGTTACCTGCCCAGGTGGAGACTAGTTCTGGTGGGCTGGTTACTGAGAGCCCAGAGGCAGGTGTGCTCCAGGAACAAGTGGTAACTGTCTCCCTTTCCCCTTCCCTCCTCCCGACTTCCCTCAAGGCCACATCACTGTTCCACGCCATGGCAGTGAAAGCTCGGAATCCTAACCACTAGGTCACCAAGTTTCTCAGCTACGTCTGAGAAACCTGCAGCAGCATCACAGCTGCACCGGTCACAGCTGCGGGCCCTGTCAGCACAGCCACCGAGCTCTAGGCACCCTTTGGGACTGGGACACTTGATGAAATAAAATTTATATTTTGGGAATTCCCTGGTGGTCCAGTGGTTAGACTCGGCACTCTCACTGCTGGGGCCCGGGTTCGATCCCTGGTCGGGGAACTAAGATCCTGCAAGCCTTGCAGCACAGGCCAAAAAAACCCCATATTTTACGGCAGGACAAGAGAAAATTAAACATAAGATTCTCTCCGTGTGTTTGTTTGCGCCTCCTCCTTCCCTGACCCGCCATGTGCATCTGCATCACACGCGAACCGGAGCTCCTCCAAGGGGGGGGGCGCCTGTTCCATCGGAAAGATCAATTTTTTTCTTCTGATGCCGGCAATGTAACTTCTTAAAGAATAGAGTCCCTGGGCTTCCCTGGTGGCTCAGTGGTTAAGAATCCACCTGCCAATGCAGGGGACACGGGTTCGAGCCCTGGTCCAGGAAGCACCCACATGCCATGTTGCAGAGCACAGTCTCTAAGCACGTGCGCCCCAACTACTGAGCCTGCGCTCTAGAGCCCACGAGCCACAACTACTGAAGCCCGTGAGCCACAACTACTGAGCCTGCGCTCTAGAGCCCGCGAGCCACAACTACTGAAGCCCACGTGCCTAGAGACTGTGCTCTGCAACGAGAGAAGACACGACAATGAGAAGCCTGTGCACCGCAACGAAGAGTAGCCCCCGCTCGCGGCAACTAGAGAAAGCCCACACACGCAGCAACGAAGACCTGATGCAGCCCAAAATAAAAACAAATAAATTTATTAAAAAAAAAGAAAAGAAAGAAATGTATTCATCATGGACCCAGAGGCTGGTAGCAGCACAGGCAGGTTCCCGTGAGGACCTCTTCCAGGCGCGAAGCCTGCCTTCCGGCTGTGTCCTCACATGGCCGACAGAGTGGGCGAAAGCTCTCCCGTCTCGTCCCTCTGTAAGGGCACTAATCTCATTCCATGACCCCATCCCCTCCCAGAGGCCCCTCTTAAGGCCAACACCTTGGGGGGCAGGTTTCAACATATGAATTAGCAGGGAAGGGGGGTAGGAAGTAAGGGTTGTGGACACAAACATTTAGTCCATTGGACCTGGTCTCTGCTCTGGAAAAGTCCGACCAAAGATTGCAGACTCCAAGTGGGTAGACCGGTCAGCTCAGTCCTGGGATGTTACCCTCACCTCTTAATTCAACAAAGCAAACTCCTAGGGACACAGAGAGAAGAAAGTCCCATGAACACACAGCCAGGTGATGCCCTGTCCCACCTGGCATTTCGTCCAGAGCCGGCCTCCTGATCCAAGTAGAGGAAGAAGCTTGGCCAGGTCTTGCCTAACACTTTTCTGACCTTAGGCTGGCAGCGGAAGCCCAAGCCCAGGGCCCCACAGGCCTGGGGCCTTGAGAGGCCATGAAAAAGGAGGGCCAGGAGCTGGGGATGCTCCGGCTGGAGCTTGGCCAGCCCCCGGCCCCTGCATGTGCGTGTATGGCCCAGGCCGTGGTCAGCTCATATGTTGGGGGGTGGGCGTAGGGGCCAGGAGAGGACAGAGTTGCCTCCCCACACCCAGAGCTGCTGAGCCCTACCCCACTGTGCTAGACAAGGCAAGGGGTGCTGGGGGGACCATGGGCGAGGGGAAGGGCGTGGCCTCTGGCCCACTCGTGGGTAAGGATGGGAAGGCAGGAAGTGGGCCCCCACCTCCCCACACAGACATAGGGATTCCTTCTCTGAAGCGGGAGCCCAAAGCCACCAGATGGGTGTCAGGGTCAGGCAGTCCACCAGGAAGAGACACCTTTGAAGCAGAGCAGCCAGCTGCTTCTTGGTTACCATAGATACCAGGCTGCAAAAAGGGCTGACGTGCCCATTGAGGGCAGGCCAGTGTGGCCCTGGGGCAGGCTGGGTTCTGTGGGTCTCAGCACGGAGCATCTCCCGCACCTGTCCTTGTCTGAAGTCTGGGGCCCATGAATCCCCTACGCCATGCCCTGTCAGTTACCAGAACAGAATGGGCCCCTGCCCTGCCCAGAAGCCACAGGGATGGGCCTCGGCTGTCCCTGCACCCCCAGCTGGAGCTCACAGGGAAGCGACTTCCCGGCAGACATCAGGCCAACCCACTCTGCTCTTCACAGCTTCAACGGCTGTTTCCGGGTCCCGCCCCGCCTGACCTCTTCCACAACCCCATCAAGTGGGCACGTGGTGGTGGCCCTGGGTGGCGGTGGGCACATTAGTTGTTTATTGCTATTGTTATTTATATTTATTTTAATTTTACATAAAACATTATTGTTATTTATAGCTGCATGACAAATTAACCTACAATTCAGCAGTTTAAAACAACAGACGTTTATTATGTCGCACAGTTTCTGAGGGATAGGAGTCAAGGAGCTGCTCAGCAGGGTGATTCTGGCTCTCAGTCTCTCAGGGTTGCCCTTGAGATGCCGGCAGTGGCTGGGGTCTCATCTGAAGGCTCGACAGGGCTGGAGGATCTGCTTCTAAACACCACACTCTGTTGGCCTCTCCATAGCAAAGAACAGCTGGCCTCCCTCAGAGTGGAGAACATGAGACAAAGAGGTAGGCCAGGATGCCCCTGCAACCTCGTCTTCTACAGGACCTTACTGGTCACGCAGGTCAACCTCAGTACATTCACAAGGCTGAATACCAGGTGGGGGCTCTTGGGGGCCTCCTTCCTTGCCCAAGGGTGCATCCTAGGATGGGTATGCCCCCCAGGGCTCCATGGAGCAGAGAGGAGCCAGGCACAGCTGCAGGACCCTCTGGGCTCAGCTTCTTCCTCGGGAAAAGGGAGCAGGCCCTGGAGCCAGGGCATGCCAGTGCGTGCCAGGGGAGAGGAAGAGGCTGCTGGGGCCTAGAGACACTCGGGCAACCGCAGGAGTTCTGGTGGGGGTGCTAAGGCCTCACCTCTCACAAGCCAGGGCTCCAAGCAGCCCCAGGCCCTGCCCCACCCCAAATTCCCAAGTGACTGGAGTTTCATGGGCCTGGCCAGAAGGACTTCTGTCACCATGAGGACTAATTCTTTCTCCATATTTCAAACACCTATGACTTGCTGTCATTGTCTGGTCCCCAAGCCCTGACCCCACAGGCGAGACAGAGGGGCCCAGCGTCACAGGGCTCCACAGGGCTGAGACACCCACAGAGGCAGGCAGATCACCTGACCTTGCACATGAATTCAGCAACCATTTATTGACCCTTGGTCCCTGCCAGGGTCCAACTGGGCTGGAAGGAGGCCACAGATGAATGAGGCTCCACCTGCCAGTGGAGGAGAAATGATCAGCAGGCCTTTTGGCCACACCCTCCCCCCAGGAGGAGGAAGTTCTGATTCCTCCCACACACCCCCAACACAGCCACCGGAGAAGATGCTTCCTCTATTATTCTGCAGGAAAGGCCTGCAAGACAAAAGCCAAGCCCAAGGGGTGGAGGGGGACAGAGGAATTACCCAGAGCCCCTGTGACGCATGGGAGGGGGCAGGAAACGGGCGGAGGAGGGGGGAGCGTGGCAGTAGGAAGAGCCCCTGGTGTGAGGGGGAAACCCCCCCCCAACCCAGCTCTCCGCGGATGGCGCAGGTGTCCAGGCTGAGTGGGGAGAGGGGTGTGGCCTCCTCCCACAGACAAGGATACTGCAGAGGGGTGGCCTGGGGAGGGGCCCAGCCTCAGCCCCCGCTGTGCTCCCTCACACCCCCCTAATCTAACCAAGGGCGACACCCTCCGCAAACCTCCTGGCTCCTCCTTCATCCAAGCTAATTAACGAGGTCTGCATGGCCTGAGCCTGACCTGAGCGTCTTCCTGTTCCAGGCAGGTGCTGGGGACAGGAGTGAGTGACACAGACACGGCCCTGGCCTCCAGAGCCCTCGGAGCCTGGGGTGGCTGCCTCAGGTGGGAAAGTGGGGAGAGAATGGGGCGGGGCGGGGGTGAGTACAAAGGGATAGAGACGGGAGGAGCTTGCCTGTCTGAGGAACAGTGTGGTTCCCTCTGAGCCTGAGAGGTCCCTGGAGGGCTAACAGGGTGCTCGGCACAAAGATCCCTTTGGCAATAGCGTCTTGAGAACAGATGGCCAGGAACAGGAAGTAAGGAAGTAAGGGATGGGCTTCCCTGCTGGCGCAGTGGATGAGAGTCCGCCTGCCGATGCAGGGGATGCGGGTTCGTGCCCCGGTCCAGGAAGATCCCACATGCCACGGAGCGGCTGGGCCCGTGAGCCATGGCCACGGGAGAGGCCACAACAGTGAGAGGCCATGTACCGCAAAAAAAAAAAAAAAAAAGTTGTGGAAGTAAGGGAGGGGGCAAGGCCCTGGGACGGAGGTGGGGGGGTCTGGTCTGGCGCTGTCGCCACCGTCTCCCTGAAGAAGGGAGAGTGTGATGACCCAAGTTCCAGGTGACCTTCCCAGGCAGCCCTTCTCTCTCTGGCCACCAGGTGGGGTGCTCCCCCTACCCACGAACCCACCCACCCAGCTTCATATCCCAAAGCACCCCCCCACCCCCCCACCCCGGCCCACCCCTCCTGCACTGAGGCCCTCCCTGAGCAGTTCCCCTCCCCCAGCCAAGCTGAACTTCTGGCTTCTGAAATGGACCCTCTACAATTCTCCTGCTGGGAGGGCCTCCCAGGCTGGTCAGGAGCAACTCCCCCACAGTCCTGCTGGAGACCCGGCTCTCCCAGCCTCCCCAGGGCCTGTGTGCAGAGAGTGCGGCACCTGGCCTGCATGGCTGCAACTGTCCAGGACCACTGGCCTGGGCCCTGGACACTCAGGAAGACGCGCCAGGCAGCTAGAGGCCGGGGAGGAACTGGCTTGGTGGGACGTGGCAGGCCCTGCCGGGTGTGCACGGCTGAGTCCAGGAGGGCAGGTGAACCCTGCGCATGACACGGACACGGGAGCTGATGGGGCCACTGGAGGAGGGGCAGGCCAGCCCCGGCAGTGATTCACCCTCCTCCTCCGCGATGGTCCCTGGCCAGGCAGGCGGCCAACAACCATCAGGTGAACTTGGCTGTGGTTGGGAAACAGATCTTGCCTCAGCCTCAGCAGGGCTCAGGATGAGACACTGCAGTCCCAGCTGCGTGCCTTGGACCACCCCCTCACCGCACCCGGAGCACAGCCCCCAGCAGCAGCCTGGGGAGGCCTGGGACCACAGGACAGCGACTCTCGGGGTCGGGGGTGGGGGGCCATGCCCAACGCCGCCTAGGATCGCTGTATTGTAGGATGAACACACAGCCGGTGCTCAGGACGGATGCGTAGGCCGGACCAACGCCAGTTCCTTTGTACTGAAGGGGTACCTCCCCTCTCAGGGCAGGATGGGGCACACAGCAGGGCTGGGCTCTGGCAGGAGAAGACCCCAGCACCAAGTGCCCTTTGTCGGGCTGGCCCCCGTTCCCTGCCCCTGGGACTCAGATGCCCGCTCCTGCTGGCAGCCCTCTCCCGGGCAGACACTGGCCTGGGGCAGGCTCAACGCACGGGTGGGCACAGGCAGCTTTGTGCTCAGCCACAAGAAGGCAGGAGGTGGAACAGGCCAGAACCGAAGCTTCAGGGACAGTCAGCCCTCACCACAGCTCAGCACCAAGACAACAGTGTGAAAATACATGTCTCCACCTTCCAGAGTCCTCGCGAGTGAGAGTGGGAAACAACATGCCCAGTGATGCTGCGGGACCGCTTCCCAGCACGGAGAGACATTCTGGAAAAAGTGATGCCTGGCCCCGTCCTGCCTGAGCCTCCCGAGGGACCTCTCACACACCCTCCCCCCCACTCCAAGGCGGGTCGCGGCTCCAGTGCAGTTAGATACAGGCAAACGCAAGGCCGGCCGAACGTCCGCGCCGGGCACCTGCGGGCCCAGGTGGGAGCAGAACCCCCGCGGCCCGCCCTGCCCGCTCGCGCGAAGACATCAGCCGACCCCGCTGCCGGGCCCCTGCCGGACTGGACCCTTCACGAAGACGACAAAACAAAGCTCCTGACGCGGTCTCTGGAAATAAATATTTTCTGGCACAGTCTCAGCGGGTTCTGGGGCCGCGACCTCACCGCAGCCACGGCCTCCAGGGTGCGCCCCGGCCCTGAGCCGCGGCTCCGGGGGCGGCGAGGGGCTCCCCCGTCCGGCCCGGCAGGAAGGGCGGCGCCAAGACCGCCCTGGAGCGCGGCAAGGGGCAGGGGCCGTCGAAGGCTGGCGGCGGCGAGCGGCCCGCGTAAACCGCGGGCGCCAGAACTTCGGCGGCGGGGGCCGGTGGAAGCGGGCGGCGCAAGGGCCCCAGCCGGGCCAGGCAGGTCGCCAGATGGCCGAGCAGACGGGACCGCACGTCGGCTGGGACGCCCTCGCAGCCAGCCAGGAAGCGATTCACCTCGGCCAGACACTCGTGGAAGCCGGCGCGGTACTTGCCCAGGACTGCCGGGTCGGCGCGGAGGGCGGCTGCGGGGGCGGCAGGGGACAGGCGGTCGGGGCCCGCGGTGGCGGCGGCTCCGGCCCCAGAGCCCTCGCCGCCGACGCCCGCGCTCACCTGTCACCTGCACGCGCCGCAGGCTCTGCAGGTGCTTCACGGTCAGCTCCAGGATGTCCGCCTTCTCCAGCTTCGAGCGGCGGGAGCTCTGGGGGCGGGGCCGGTGTGGGCGGCTGGCAGCCCAGGAGAGCCGGGATTCCAGGCTCCCCGATCTCGCCCTCCCGCCCCCGACTCACCTCTTTCCTGAGGGCGTCCAGGAGGAGGCTCTGGAGCTGAGCGAGGCTCTCGTTGATGCGCGCTCGGCGCCGCTTCTCCATGACGGGCTTGGAGGACTGCGGGGCCGGCAGCGGCTGAGTCCCCCGGGCGTCAGCTCCCCTCTCCCCCCCGCTCCTGCCAACCGCGTCCGGCCGGGTCCCCACCTTCCGGTGCTCGGCCGCGCTCCGGGGCTGGTCCGGGGTCCGGCGGGCACCGGCCGGCGCTCCCGCCCGCGGCGAGGCCCTCAGCTTCCCCGGGGTGTCGGCAGGCATGGTGCGCCCCCGCGCCGCGCGGGGCCGAGGGCGGGCCGGACGCACGGCTTCCCGAGCCCCTCTCCCGCGGGTTCTAGGCTCCGGGACCGAGCGCGCGCTGCCAGCCGCCTGGCTATTTAAGGAAGCGCCGCCGCGGGGCGTGTGAATCCGGCTCCGCGTTCTTTCCCACACTCGCGCCAGCCAATGAGCCGCCGGCGCCGGGCAGCCCGCCCCCGGCCGCAGCCCCCGCCGGCTGTCAGTCACGCGTCCGCTCCCGGCCCACCGACCCCGCGGGCGACAAAGGCGAGCCGGGGCACCCCGCCCGCGCCCGCCTCTGGCGGCGCCGGGCCGAGGCGGGGAAGTCGCCGCGCCCGCTCCCCCGTTCCGAGCGGTACGCCGGGAGGGGACCTCTCCGGGAGGGCGGAGGCGCGACGCTCACCTTCCGGGCGAGCTGGGGCCGCGGGAAATCTGAAAGGAGAACTCGCGAGGGGAACCGGGTGAGGCGCCCCCGAGGAGCCGGCGAGCCTCGGCCCGCACGCCTCTGCTCTCCGCGGACCCAGCCGGGCCCTCGGGCCTCCGCGCGGCCTGCGAATCTGACCCCCGCCGGCTGCAGCACCTGCACGAGGCCCGTGACACAGTGGACGTGGAACACCAGCCACTGGGCAGGAGACAGGCTGGCCGGCCAAGGTCGTAGACAGGCAGAGTGGCATCACGGGACCAGTGAACGTGATGCCACAAGGCGGGCGGAGTGACGTCATCAGTCAGGCAGGATGACGTCATGGAACAGAATGTAAGGTGTCACTGGTCACGCTGGTGACGTCTCAGGGTTAAGGTCGATGATGACACAAGCCAGATGTGGTGATGTCATGGTCGCTGGTGATGTCACTCTCTTCCAGATTACCCAACAGTGAGCCAAGCACCAGCAAAGTAGGGCTCACAAAAAATGAGGGACACTTGTTAAAATTTTGTTTTTTAGTTCAAAGTGGCGTTGTGGGGAAAAAAGAGGGCTAAGCTTATTTTCGCGTTTGATGTTTTCATTCTGAATTCCCTTGCGCCAGCACTCTGGTCTTCTGAGTACTGAGGGTTCCAGCCCACTGTGGCCTGGCGGCCGTCTTGTCGGCATCGCACAGATGTCTCCTGAGGCCCACGGTAGACCCGGCCTGCCCTTGGGGCTGAGGAAGCGTCTCGCGGGTTCTAATCCGACGCGGGGGGCGACGGCAAACAAGCAATGTTATGTCGCAGTTGCCAGAGACAGAAAGAAATGGGTAGGTTGCTGGGGGAGAGGAAACCCCTCTTTCGACTGGGTGGTCCGGACGGCTTCTTTGCGGTGGGTTCCAGGAAAGAAGGCAGATCTGCAAGGTCCGGAGAGGAAGTGTCATGCCCAGGGTGGAAAGGGACCACAGGCCCGAGGGAGGAGGGGCAGGGGCAGGTGGGCGCGGGGCCTGGGAGAGTCGTGCTGGGCTTTTCGGAGCAGCGGAGTGGGCCGACTGGCAGCTCGGAAGGGTCACCTCGGTCCTAGGCGTACCTAGTGGGTGGGGTCGCCGGCTGGCCCCTTACCCAACACCAGTTCCCGGGGTCCCAGCCCGGGGTCACGGTGTAGACGCCTTTTCTCTTTTCTGAGGCCAACCTAGTCTGGCCCTAGCCTCTCCCTCTGGAACCCCCCAATCCCACCCCCGGCGCGAAACCGACCTCTCAGCGGTCTGCGGGGGCGCCCGGGCGGGGCGGGAGGCGGCTACACTGGGTGTGTCTGTGGGCTGTCGCCCCCGAGGCCAGGCCCCAGAGGCGCAGCCCCGGAGGAGCGTGTGGGGCGGGGAGCGTTGGGAAGCCGCGGGCGTCGGGCAGGAGCGGGCGGTGGGGACCCACCCAGAGCACAAAGCCCTGGGAGCGCTGACTGCCACGGCGCCGGGGTGGCTGGGACCAGCCCTGAGGGGGATGAGGCCGCGGGGGTCCTGGAGTCCCCACCCCGCCCCCATCCCCCCCGGCGGGCTGCGCGCAGGAGAGAAAGCCCGCGAGTGCCCCGCTGGGAAGCGTCGGCGGAACCCCAGGCCGGCAGGCGGGGCGCTGGGACCCGGTCTGGGTGGGCTCGGCCCCCCACCCCCAGGAGACCACACAGGCAGGGGTTTCAGACCGCAAGGAGAGGCTCGAGGAGCCATGTTTGACCATGCTTTACCTGCTAGTGGTTAGACGGGTTCGCTTACCCTCCGGTACCTGTTTCCTCACCTGTAAAATGGGCTATCTTTTCATTTATCCCTGGGTTGTTGGGAAGATAAATGAGCTCCTATTCTGAAAACACGCAGCACATGTCAGCTTCAGTTGTTACTGCCTGGGGGAACAGACGCAGGCAGGGAGGAGCCACCTGGACTCACCTCGGCCATGTGCCCTTCTGCACCCTCTGCCCTCTGAGACGCCCCCTCCCCACCCAGGGTCTCCAGGGGCCTGTGTCTTGGCCTCCCAGCCCCAGCCCCAACAAGGAGACTTCACTAGCCCAGAACAAAGTGAGTTTCCCTGGGGTTGTCACCCACACCGTCTGTGTGGTCATGTCTCTGGGCCCTCCTACCTCTGGCCGTCCCCCCACCCCGCCTTTTACATCTGGGCTTGGATCTCTGGTAGGCCACCGGGTCTCCTGGGGGTCGTAGGGGCTCCCTTGCTCTGGGCAAGGAGGGAGAGTCCTGGGCTGCAGTTGGGAAATAGTGCTGAGGAATACTGTGGAATATTGCATTTTCCAAAGATGGCTACAACAACATCTCCCACTCCAAATACCCTTATGGTGCACCTTGGTGAGATTTTGTGATGACATCGACCAGCAAAGACAGGGGCAGGGGTGAGATGTGAATTCTGAGGCTGGACCTTAAAAATGCCACACACGTTCACCTTGCAGTCTTGGGAAACCCGCTCTTGGAACCCGTTTGCCCCTCTGTGAGGAAGCCCAAACTGGCCCCATGGAGAGGCTCCCAAGGGGAGGCCATTGAGCCAGGAGCCCAGAAATCTCAGCTGCTGGACAGGTGATCCCAACCTGCTGCTTCAGAGCCCCCACCTCATGCCTTCCCAGCTGCTCCTGGGTGCTTTGTTCCAATTCTTGATTCACAGAACAGGACAGTTGTTACTGTGACCTTTGGGGGTCATTTGTTACACAACAGTAGTAACTGGTATAACTAAGATGGCCCAAGCCCTGGATCTGTTCCTCCGCCCCTCCCCTCCCCCTCCCCCACCCCACTCCCCATCTCGTTCCTCCT